TTCCTTCCTTCCTTCCTTCCTTCCTTCTTTCTTTCTTTCTTTCTTTCTTTCTTTCTTTCTTTCTTTCTTTCTTTCTTTCTTTCTTTCTTTTAAAGAATATTACTCTTGAACATCCAATTTAATTTGCTTCTCAACAATCATGGTACCCGCCACTTATACGATGCCATGAATAAAGTTTTAAGATAAGCAATTGCTCTTTAAGTCCTATTTTATGCTATTACTTCTCATCCTAATAATACACTGATATTATTAACAGCTAAATTAAACATTTTATGATAAAAATAATTCTGCCTACCTACTAAAAATTTGATGATTGATCAAATTCACATACAAATTTTTCTAAAGATATATTTCATAAGAAACTAAGCCAAGCTTTACATTTCTCTGAAGTTATCACCTCAATGTATTACAAAACCCCCTTCTCCATCAGTCAGTGTGACCAGCACCCACATGAAGGGCCCCATGGTTGGCGTCTCTGTTCCCCTGGTGAACCAACTAGATGTAAATACTGCTCTGCTACAAGGCAACAGCTCCTAACTCAAACTCATTGGAAAGAGACTTCTGCAAAGTGCACTTTGAAGAAGAGGTACTTTTTGCTTATGGAAAGAAACCAGTGAATCCTCTAAGAATAATAAAAGGGAGTATTTAACAGTTAAGCACATGATTTGGAGTGAAGAATTCCGATGTTGCTCTGCTGGTCCAGGCTGCTTAATACTCTTCTTGTTCCTCCTGTGGGCCCCCCCATCCCCTGATGTGTTTGTATTGATTTGTTTCTGGTGGTAGCTTGTCTTATGCTGTGTGTAGAAAACAGGTATTTTATGACAGATTGTTATGTAGTGCATGCTGTGTGTGGAATTCAGAGGAAAATCCAGATTTAGTGATTAACAATGCCAAAAAAAAAATGCAAGTAACTAGCTATTGTTCAAACGACAGTGGTGCTATTTCTCCTTTGTGGCCTTTTAGACTTCTGTTGCCCCCAAATTCCATTTTATTGGGAACCCATTTTTCCACCTGGTCTTTCTTGACAGGGTTTTTTCTACTTTAAACAGTTTTTAAATAAAATTCTGTATTTCAAGAGTGAAAAAAAAAAAAAAAAAGAAACTAAGCCAAGCTAAGACTGGGCATTATAATTAAGAATAAGCCTCCATGAGTAATTTATTTGGGAGCTGGGTGGCAGGTACCCCAAAAGAGAAGAAACAATAACAACAATATATTATAATTCCTTTCACAACATTCCTCAGCTCTACCCACTTTCTTAACCTTCCATCTTCAAGAGAGGGAGTTGGAGAGGAGTGGGGCCTGATTTCTTCAGACTTCAAGATCTGGTTGCTTATAGTTACCAGTGTCTTAAAGAGACAGGCCCTTAGCCTAATAACTAGTCATTTGTTTATTAAATGCATATAGGTTAAGAAGAAGACCATTTGTATAGTGCATTGAAAAATAAATTGTACACAGAAGAGTCTGTTTTCTTGTCATTAGAGAAAAATAAATGATATAAATATGTCTTACATATTTATCCTTAGCCAAAGCTTTCTCTACAGAGAAGTCCTAGAAATAATGATATCCCAGAAGATCAAGTTGTCTGAATGTTAAAGATTCTTTAGTTAAAGCATATTGAGCTCTTTGGAGAAGTATTTGATTCCAGGCCAAGGAAAGGAAAACTACAAGATGATTTAGCCGTACTTTTGTTTCAAAAAGGTAATATTGGTTGAAATTATTAAGGCCACTCCATGTAGTTAAAAGGGAGGTTTATTTTTGTGGGGTAACTTACAAGTGAAGGGATAGGTAACAGGGTCTGGGAAAGGTGTAGCGTAGTCCGGCGGCAGTGTTCTCTGGAGAACTCTGTTTGGTCTACATGCAGCGTCCAGGGTCCAAGAACCAAGAGAGCTGGTGCATCCAGATCTCAGGTCTTCAGTGTCCTCCCTCAGTCCCACCTTGTAGGTGTGACCATTACCAAAGCCTCAATGGGGGTTGGAACTTCCAGATCAAAGCTGAAATGGCTACCCACTACAAGGTAAAGAAATCCTTCTAAAAGGGTGATGATGCTTGAAGAGGTCACAGGAAACTGAAAGAGCTCCATTGACCTAATGAAAGCAATTGGTGCAAAAAAGTAAAAGGGTGATAATATATCTAGCATAATGCAGGGAACAAATTTTAAATAGCTGGTACTAGATTATAGTCCAGGGAATGGCATGACTATCCCTGTGTTCAACAGACATGCATGAAAATGAGAAGAAAAAGTGGAAGAAGAGATAGTTCTGCATTAGAGAATAAATACAATTAGAAGAAAAAAGAAATATTTAAATGAAAATTTTCTATTCTAATAGCACAGAAATAATTCTCAGGTTTAAGATATAATACTGTGCTTATGCAAATTTTGAAAAGACACGCTTTACCAGATATGTGTATAGTGCCAAAGCATCTCCTGCCATCTAGTTACAAACACAGAGTACAGAACTAGTAATTTTACAGAGGACAAACCTAGGACACAAGACAGCGACCAATTGATGCTGTTTAGTTTCACATCAGTAACATGCCCCTGGATGAGATGCATGGGAACTGTAGCAAGTGCATAACATCAATGTAGTAATATGAAAATATTAGATGAGATAATCTGGGGAAAAGATGCAATGGTGAAGAGTACAGAGATTGAGCAGCTCAGTGTATGTGTTCTCTTGAAGAGAAAGAATGTACAGGTAGTGTACTGGTGCTATGCAGAAAAATGCATCCCTGAGCTTGGTCGGGATCACTGCACTCAGGAAAGGATGAACAGGTAAGGATGAGAAAAGGGCACATACCTTTAATCCCAGCACTCAGGAGGCAGAGCCAGGTGGATCTCTGTGAGTTTGAGGGCAGCCTTGTCTAAAGAGTGAGATCCAGGACAGGCACGAAAACTACACAGAGAAACCCTGGTTCAAAAAACCAAAAAGAAAAAAAAAGCAGCCATTTTCTCCTCTCACTGGAAAATGCATCAAAAATGATTTTTTGTAGCTTTAGATGTGAACTTTTCCTTTCCACTTTCTTACTTAAAATTATCTTATTTTTCAAGATTACTTAGAATCATTTTTTAAAAACTTATAAAGACTGCCTTTAGATGTTTCAGAGGCAGACAGAGAAATCACCAAACATTAGAGAAAAGCCAGCTCATTTTTCTTTCTTTTCCAACTTCAGAAGGTGAATTGAAAGTTACCTTCAATTGAATATTCACTTTCAACATCAAGGCCCAGCGACAGAATCTGAAACTGGATTAGTTTGTATTTAATTAGAGTTAAGTTCTTCAAGGGCTTCAGATACTTTTGGTAAAGATTTAATGAAAATAGTGTTAGACTGAAGAATTTGGATAGTTTAAGTTTCATAAATAACTTGTTCAATTATTAAGATTTTACAAGAACCTTGAATCAGAATGAAGAATTTCTTCATGTACTAGCTCATGTTCACTTCAGAATATATAATATCACTTGCAATATGGAGTCAAATCCCTATCATTTATGTGGTAAATAAGCCTCATAGCCTTTGCTAGAATTTACTTGCAGATCTAGGTCAGATATACTCATTGAATGAAAAACTCAGAGCCTTGAATGATGCCTTTTTCAACTTTCAAATTAATTTTTAACTGACACACAAACATAAAAATGTGCACATAATGAATGTTATATTTGATGTGCAATGCTTAATTGTTTAAATAAACATGCCTTCTCAAACAGCCAATATTTCATGGGTTTTTTTTTTCTGCTTATTTTGCCTTTTTTTTCCTGCTTATTTGCTTTGTTTTGTTGTTTCCAGAGGCAGAGTCTCTTGTTTCCCAGGCTTACTGTATAGCCAAGGATGACCTTGACCTTCTGATATTCCTATACCTTCCTAGTAACCAGCAACGCCTGGTTCAGGATCATGCTCTGCTGAGAAGCCAATGAGGAGCTTTCTGCATGCTAGGTGAGCAGTCCACCACTTTCCTTTTTCTTTTTTTATTAATTAATTTTATTAATTAATTTTTTCATTTACTTTACATCCAAACTGCAGTTACCCCTCCCTCCTCTCCTCCTGTTCCATCCTCCTGCATTCCCATTTCATCCACTTCTCCTCTGTTTCTGTTCAGCAAGGGGCAGGCTCCCATGGGTGTCAACAAAGCATGGGACCGAACTGGCCTCCTACCCCACTCCTATTCAATACTAAATCATAGGACTAGTTTTCTAGTTCTGAGAAGAATATCATGTTTATTCTTTTTTTTTCCCAGAGGGACCACATTGAATCTGTAGATTATCTTATGTGTTATAGAATTTTAATGACATGGTTCTTCCAGTATGTTATCTTCCAAAGTCACAAAAGAATTGGAGTCATCTTCAATTTCTTTCATTGATGTTTTATAGTTCTTGTCTAGAATTTTTTCGCTTTGGTTTAATTTCTTTACAGTATGACCTCTTTTTGTTCGTTTGTTTTTGTTTTTGTTTCTCTGTGCAACATCTTTGGCTGTCCTAGAACTCTCTTTGTAGACCAGGCTGACCTTGAACTCACAGAGATCTGCCTGCCTCATGAGTTGCTGGGATTAAAGGTGTGTGCCACTACCATCAGGCCATATGTACTTTTGAGCTACTACAAATGAACTATTCTCTTCTCTGAAAACACTACTGGTTTTTTACATATTTACTTATTTTTGTATCTTGGAAATTACTGAATTCACTCAGTAATTCTAGTTTAGGGCATAAACATTTGAATTTTATTCTACATAAGATCATGTCATCCGCAAACATGAATATGACTTTTTTTTCTAGTTTGGATGACTTTTATTTATTTGTCTTGACTGCTGGCTCTGGATAGAACTTCAAGCACTATGTGACAAAGTGGTAAAAGCTGGCATCCCTGTCTTGATTTAGATCTTAGAGAGAAAGCTTTTAGCTTTCCTGTATGCAGTATAATGTTAGCTGCTGGCCTGTCAAAGCACCTTTCATCATGTTGACAAATACTTCTTGTTTGTGATCAATGCCACATACATACATACATACATACATACATACATACATACATACATACATATATATATTTATATGTGTGTGTGTATGTGTGTGTGTATGTAGATGAATTTTTAAACAGTCTTATTAAATAAGAAACACGGAGCCAAATACAGAGATAATAGCCAAAGAGATCAGGGAGCCACGACTACCTTATCTTACCACCTTGCTGTTGTTGCATCCCCAGAGAGAGCTTCTTCCTGTGTGGCTTGTGTTTTTAATGCTTTCCTGTTCTGCCTTCTCATTGACTCTAAGTCCAGCCACATGACTTTCTCATCATTGCCTGTCTATACAGACCTCCAGGTCTCTATGGTTGGTACTGGGATTAAAGGCTCATGTCACCACACTTGACTGTGTCCTTGACCACACAGAGACTCTGCCTGCCATGTGATCAGGGATTAAGGGCATGGGCTACCACTGCCTGATATCTGTTCCTGGCTCGCTATGACCTCTGGTCTCCAGGTAAACTTTATTTATTAATATACAAATAAAATCACATTTCAGCACAATTAAAATATCACCACATATATGCATACATATGTATATATGTGTGTGTATGTATATGTGTGTATGTATATGTATATGTGGAAAACAGAGCTTAGTGAAAAGATGGATTATGATAATTTATTTAGATAAGAGAATTCATAAATCTATCCTTGCACTTTCAACCTTACCATATCTACATCTAATTTATATTACAATGTCTGTCTTTTATATAAATATAGATGTGAATATATAAATAGTTCTTCAAAATGTATAGTTGAAAGAATCCCATACATGGTAACTTCTTAGTTTAGACTGTTTCATCTCTGTGAATACACAGTCCTATATTTGTACCAAAAATCCACCACAATCATAATATATGATTGCTCATGTTTAGAGATTAAATGACAGTATTAATTAAAATGTTTACATCAAGCCATTCTTTCAGGGTAAACCAAGTAAAATATCAGAGGAAACTCGTCTATAATAATCACAAATCAAACACATTTTTCTTTTAGTGAAAATAGGTAGTTTTCTCACATAATATACCAGGACTATAGTTTCTCTCCTCCCTCAACTCCTCCCAGTTCCTCCTTACCTCCCCTTCCCTTCTGGATCCACTCCCTTTTTGTCTCCCATTAGAAAAGAACAGACTTCTAAGAGATAACAGTCAAAAACATAATAAAATATAATGAGATGAAGCAAAATCTTCTGTGTCAAATTTGAAGCAGTCCAACAGGAGGAAAAGAGTCCCAAGAGAAGGCAAAGAGTCAGAGACACACTCATTCTCATAGTCAGGAGTCCCTAAAAAACTACTAAGCTAATATCTATAATATATACAGAGAAGACCTTGCATAGACCCAGGTAGGCCCTGTGCTTGCTGTGTCAGTCTCTGTGAGCTCACATGCACCTGCTGTGTTGATTCAGATGCTCTTGGTATCCTAGTGTCCTCCATCCCCTCTCTTACAATCGTTCTGCCTCCTCTTCCATGGGATTCCTTGAGCTCTAATGGAAGGGATTTGATGAAGACCTCCAATTTAGATTCTTTCTCCAAATAATGTCTGACTGTCAGTCTCTGCATATGTTCCCATCTGCTGCAGAGAAAATCTCTCTGATGATGACTGAATAAGGCACCAACCGATGAGTATAGCAGAATATCACTAGGGATCATTTCATTGATTTTTTTTTGGTCTGTCTTATTTGGTTCTATCCTAGGTCTCTAGGCTATCTATTCTCTGGTTCTCAGTCACCCAAGCAGTGCCAGGTACAGGTCCCTTCTTTAAAGTGGGCCTTAAGTCAAAACAAACATTGATTAGGCACTCCCACAGGGTTCAGTGCCTTCATTGCCCTGGCATGTATTGCAGACAGAATTATAGGTCAAAGGTTTTGTGGCTGGGTCTGTGTCTATGTGCTGTGGGAATTTGCCCACCAATGGCCTTGGGGTATTTGGCCCAATAGAGGTTTTTTTTTTTTTTTTTTTTTCTGGGTAGGTAACTGCTCAAAACTGAGGAAGGAACACACACTCTGTCTCTCTCCCCAGGTGGTCAGAGACCAAAGGGCTGATTCCATTCATACCTCAAGCCCCTACCCCATCACAT